ATGGTCGTTGAACAATTTCGATACTGGAACCCACTGCCATCGGGTGTTTTCATGCCACCTCCTTCCCCAGTCTATTCAACATGTCCCGTGGCCTCTCAATCAAGAAAAAAAAATTATCTTTATTGAAGAAATGAGAGTGCAAACTAGAGAGATGTCTAAATATTGGCATTTAGTTTTGTAGCACTTTGGATGTTACATTTTAGAGAAACTGAAATTTACTACATTGCAATTCTCTAATTCTCAAGGAACATTTGGTGTTTTTAATGTAATGTATTTCCCAATTCCCATTGTTGAGACTTCAGACTTGCCTAGAGGATTAGAGTTCTCAAATCAAAGCTGAGGAGTTAGTGATTTATTTTAAGATATTGTGTTTTCAAAATGATTATTCTTGAGAATAAGCTACAAGTTTTAACAAATTCTTTTGCAGTTGTTTATCTTTTCAAATCTCTTACATCTTTATCATCCTTTCTCACTTGAAATTGGATATGTTAATTCAAATGGTTTAGGCTTGTTTTCATTGAAAGGATTGAAGATGTAATTCTCTGTGCAGAGATGTTAGCACCAACTACCCTGGAATTTGAAGAAGCTAGACGAATTAAATAAGAGGAAATGATCTGTGCCTATAATTTATGGGATGATCCTATTAAATCCAATGAAATTCATGTCAAGTTAGCTGGTAGTGCCAAAGTGGTTGATGCTCTCAAGGACCTAAAATACAAGGTATTTATTTATTTTTATTTTTATTTTTTTGAGATTAGTTTCAGTTGAGCTTTCTTATAACATATGCAAATTTTTTTGATAGAAACGAGCACATAGAGTCTTGACCTGTATTGGGTTTGTAGGCTAGAGTAGCATGACAGAGGTTTGACCTATAGCTTTCAGGGCATAGCATCATTTGCTAAGATAATTGAGATTTTAGAAACGTTCAATGTTCTTTCGTTTAGTTAGATGATACCCACATGAATAGTTGTATTTGCATACCACCTTTGTTTTAATTTATTAGAATCTAAATATACTTCTAAATGCATATTAGTTGCACCATTATAATATTCAGTTCATAACAAAGTTAGAGACAAAGGGATTCTTCAATATGATTCAGTTCATTAGTCTTGATTGAGTTTATATGAGAAATTAGGAGCTTTGCCTATTGAATCTGGTTAGTTTATAACAAAATGTTCAAATGCATCTTTGACATCTCTCTAATTTTGGGTTTTTTTCTAGCAATGGCTGGTGGTAAAAAGATCTGTCTAGCTTTTAGCTTTTTTAATGTTACAAAATTACTTCACGCAAAATGGTTAATTGGTTTTAGCTTTGATGCTTCCGGCTTTCCATTTTTTTTTAGCAATTATTTTACTTTCTTCATCAATTTGTTACATGGTTTGTAAAGAAATGGTGAAGCTAGCATGGTATGAAAGTGCCATCTTATGTAGCATCATTAGTTTAACATGAAGAAATCCCCAAAGATTAACCCTTGAAATATGCATTAGCTCACACTTTAGCTTTCTACTTTTACAATTATTATCACATGCGCAAGACAAATTAGTTAATTACAACTGTTTTTGAATGATTTTCACACTATCCTAACAATTGATATATGGGATGGACTTTTTTCTAAAAAAATTTAATTGTAAGATTTGGTATGTAACAAGGTTCCTTCTTCATTTTTTGTAACGATTGCTCTGAAAGAATGCAAATTTGTGTAGACATGCAAGAAGTTAACAAATCAAACTAGTTAGTAGAAAGCTCTCAGTTATAATTGTTATTGATATAAAGCTATGGGTGATGCATGCTGAAGTTGCTGAAAAGTTTGTATGTTGCTTCAATCAAATAATACTTGCTGGTGATACTGCTCATTGACTCCCTTGTACTTGTGGTTTTGGTTAGTAACTTTGTTTTTCTGAGAAGAAAACATTTTGATTATTTAGAATTTTCCTTATCTTCTAATCAATAGTTTGTAACTGAATTTTCTTGGATGCACGTAAACCTAAGGCTATGGGATTTGCCATTTTACCTTTCCTCTGTTTATTTCCTTCTCCTTTATGGGTACCATGGAGACAATAAAATGCAACATGTAAAATGCAATACATAATTACATATGTTAAAGGTGGCTAGAATTGGGAATTTGTTTATAAGTATAGATGCAAAATCATCCAGCAGTATAAAGTATATGCATGTAGGATATTAGGATTTATTATTAATTTTACTACTTTTTACATTGACTTTTTAGTGACTATGAATTGATAAGAGCATTTATGTATTGGTGAAGGAAGTTTGAACATGGTCTAAAAGATACTTAACAAGAATAGCACTTTGCATAGAAAGACAAATTGGATAATGACAAGAAATGCTTCTTTAATTTTTGTATTAGTATAAAGAGATATCTTAAAGAAAGTTTACTTACTATTAATTCTATTATACCTACTTAACTGTACTTTTATTTGAGCTTTGCTACAGGCTTCATAACTTTTGCTGTCAGTTTAATTGCTAGGCTTCACTGGCCTCATTGTGGGTGAATTTCATTACAGTATACTTTTAAGATATTGATTTAGTTTCCATTGTTTTTTGTAAATGTATTCTTGCAAAACACATTTGATAATGTGTTATGTAACATGAGACAATTCTCATTTCTTTAAGTTGAAATTTGATTGCAGAAACCTCCTATGGCAAATTCCTTATATTGAGGTTGCGTCGTCTATATTATTCGTGAATCATATATGGCAGCGGATACTATGACTATAATAAGACACAACATCGCGAGTATTTTATTGTTTTTGATTGTATCCCTAAGCAGTTAAATATGCATATATTGTCGGATTGACATAATTTGGATTAAATTCCCGAAAACTCACTATTATATTTTTCTTTTAAGTAATGATGTATCCTTTTACTACTAATTTCCTTTTAATATTAAATTTTTATTTTTTTAATTTCAAGGGCCCGAGCATTGCCCGGGGTATTAACTAGTAAATAAAATACTCAAACCCTAATCTCTCATCAATTTCACTTTCTCTCAACTTTTCCTCTTCTCCCCTTCTTCATCTCAAGCTCTCTAATCCTTCTCTTTGGTGGCACTCACGTAAAAAATTAGATTATGTGGCATATAGTGAATTATGTTATATGACATCTTATAAAAGATCATTTTTTAAAAATAAAAAGTAAGAATGCTTATTGAAAATCAAAACCCAGTGGTTAAGGTACTCTCATAACCATTAGAAATACAAAGACAAGAACATTAAGAATATCAAAGTCCGCTCTTAATTGCTAATTTGTTCTTAATTAATAATTTGTTTCTAATTAATAAAAATCAATTCCAATCCAATTTCTTCTTGTATTTGGTTATACATATTTTGGATTTTCCTTTTAAACTTTAATATTAAATAAGGTTATATTTTTTTGTATAATGCCTTCCTAAATATTAAATAGAGTTGTTTTTTTTTATATATAATACTTTTATAAATATTGAATAGGTACTAGATATTAAT